GAATTAGTTTTCATCATGATAATCTTCACAAAGGAACACAACTTTAATTCCGAAGCCTAAATACAATCGGCAGAAGTAAAAATCTAAACGAAGGCTATGAACGAACTAGCTACAACACGGTTGCAAGACTTCAACGTCACCACTACCATTAAGCTTCCGACAACAGCAAGTCTTTATTTAAAAACATTTTCCCTGAGAGCTCGAGTTATAAAAGTTTGCAAGAGCACAATTACAAACACTATGCAAGTGAGTAGATAAGTTAACCCGTTCGATGTGATGACGTTTAATGTCCTCAAAAGCCTCTGCAGTCCCATTTAGAAACTTGTTAGCAACCCTCTTTTTGAAGGCAAGTAAAAGCTTTTAAAAATTCAGAAGGGTGTTTTACTGATTTATTTTATGTTGCGGAATAAAATGCGAAAATATCATGAGCTTATGTTCACCACAGACCTTATTTAACCAAAAAAACATTTGACTGCAGGATGATGGAACCGGAAGAGTTTAAACGCTAACTTGTTTGTGGGTTTATAGAGTCCCTGCAGCGCACTCGAAATTTAAAATTGTTATTCTATCATTAGCCTGTTACCCTCTGCTCCAATGATATATTGGTGACTGTAGGACATCAATTACATCGTTTGCGAATAAACGTCATTGACCTCAAACCTAATGCAATATGTCTCCAGTGGAGGGTAGAATACATTGGCTGTTGTATAACCTGATGGCAATACCAAGGTATATGAAACATCTCAAGCAAGCTCATAATCAGCCTTCAAATGATGGGAGGGGGAATTAAATGGGACATATTTGAATAAAACGGTCCAATAGCTTGGTGTTAATCCTGTGGCAGGGCTAAATGACTCATACTGAAGAGGAGGAAACGTCTGAATCAATATCTTATAAAAAACCAAATGACAAATTACTATAACATGCGTTTCTGAGAGCACACCTTTGATTTCACCTGTAAGGAATTGCTCAAGTACTTAGAACCATCAAGAAAAACAGAATCCTTAAAAAAAGAAGACTAATTTATTCAGCTCAGTCATGCAATTCGACTGTCTGCAGGACAATTAGCGGATAATCAAAGCCAACTAAGACTGTCTTTTAAATTTCTCTGCTCTTTAAATTGACACAGAGTTCTTGTCTTACTGTCATCCAAAACATTTTTTTTCAGTCTCTGGTCAAGATTTTCCTGCCATCAGTTGAAAAGAAAGCTGAAATGTTCATCATTTGCATATTGTAATGTATGTGTAAAATAAACTTCAACAGGTGAACTTCTCCTCATGGAGGATAATTGGGTAACGCTTCCTTTTACAGTCCTGTTACCCATGTACATACTATGTACTTATTATAAAAAATTACAATTACTGGGTAATAACTAGATACTAACCCTGAACCTACCCCTAAACCTACCCCAACCCATGTACTTACCTTATATTAGCCAGTACTTACTAGGTAAGTACACCTAAGTACACGTTTACTGTACTGTAAAAGGAAGCGTTACCGATAATTGTCAAGACAAACTTTGATGTTATAGAGGAGAAAACAGCAATGTCTAAAACATAATAATACGGCTCATGCACAATAGCAACTACGTTGGCCACAATATTTTATTTATATCTGCAATGCTATTTCACAGCATACATTGGTATTGATTGTATTGCGTCATCGCATGAACCGTTAAGAATGGCAATCTTAGAGGCATTGGAAGATTTATTGATCGAGGTGCAAATGCATCTGTTTTTAAAAACTTATTAAAAACATGTTTAGAAAACTTGTGACAGTGTTTAAATTTACTAGCGTGATATGTTCAAAGGAAGAAGGACGAAAAAGTCAGGGGTGGCGAGTAATCCAAGCTTTTTATTACTCAAAGAAAAAATTAACAAAAGAAATACTGTCAGACTCTCTGCCTCCACAGTAACATACACAGCAAAATAACAGTCTCTCCCTCTCCCTGCCCCAGGTCCGAACAGAGAGTGAATTCCCGTCCCATGAGGTAATAACGGAGGGTGAGGATGGCCCACCAAATGGCCAAACACTCTTTTTCTCTCTGTTTGAGAGCTTACGACTCGGATACAGAACCGGCCGCTCCTCCCCTCCGACCACCTGGGACAGGACTGCACCCAGCCCCCCGTCCGACATGTCAGTCTGCAACAAAAAGGGGAGATCAAAGCTTGGAGAGTGTAAGAGCAGCCCGCCGCACAGGGCAGCCTTTACCTTGGTTAGGGCCTGTTGGCACAGCTCCGTCCACTGGACCAGATCTGGTGCTTCCTTTTTGTGAGATCAGTCCGAATAATTAGGAATAAAGCTTCTATAATATTCCGCCAGCCCCAGGAACTGTCTCATCTGGTTTTTGGTCTTGGGATTTGGGCAGGATGCAATTGCAGCAGTCTTACCAATTTGGGGATGGGCCTGCCCATATGCCAAGTGAAAGCCCAGATACCGTACCTCCACACCGCAGGTTTGCCGTGAGTTCAGCCACCCTCCGCAAACTCAGGACAGTGTGTAGATGTTCCAGATGCCTCTGCCAATCTTTACTGTATATAATGATGTCGTCGAGATAGGCAGCGGCATACACGTTACGTATGTGGCCGGCGGATTGTGTCCATGAAACGCTGAAAGGTGGCGGGATCCCCAAACAACCCAAGCGGAAGAGTAATAAATTGGTGTAATCCAAACGACGTTGTGAAGCCTGTTTTTTCCTTGGATAATGGCGATAAGGGAATCTGCCAATACCCTGTCGTTAAATCCAGTGTCAAATAAAAGCGAGCCGGACCTAACAGATCAAGCAGCTCGTCAACTCGGGGCATTGGATAAGTGTCGAATCTCGACACTGCATTCACCTTCCTGCAATCGACAAAGAAACGGAAAGAGACGTCCGTTTTAGGAACTAAGACTATAGGGCTCGTCCAGTCTCTGTGATTCTTCTATCACGCTCAACATGGCCTTTAATTCACCCTGTACCACTTTTTTCTTGTGTTCAGGTAAACGTTAGGGACGGCTGCGCGCCACCTCCCAGGGGATCGTTTTGATATGGTGCTGTATAATGTCAGTGCGTCCAGGCAGGGGTGAAAACACGTCTGCAAAATCTGCTTGCAACTTGGCTAAATCGGTGAGCTGCAATGGCGAGAGGTGATCTAGGGATCAGAGTGAGCTGATTGGTTTTGACAGCTGCTTCTGGTCCGAGAGATGATACATTTTACATGAATCACCTCATTCGTTCGTATTACCTCATAAACCCCCTCCTCCTAAGCCTCTCGGATGACGTCAAGCACCCCAAGGGGCTGACAACCATAGAGAAGCTCGAATGGGGAAAACCCAGTGGAGGTTTGCGGAACCTCCCGCACTCGTTCCCCCACTGCAGACCTAGCTTTACCACGCCCCCCTCGCCACAACTAGCCTAAAGATAAACTAGGTGCAATGTGTTAGCACAAAGTGTGTAATGGTTTGCTTTATCTTGCTAACAAGCATCTCAGCATATATTTAATTACACATAATACATCCAATTAAAAAGTGTGGTACAAAAACTTAGCATAAAAACTCGCCCAGGAGCACAGGAGAAAGTGCTCTTTCAGAATAAATGTCATTCACAGTAATAATTACACTCAACAACATTTATCATAATACATTGCTTTTTAAGTAGCCTGTTACATGAGCACGGCTCTTCAGGTTTAGTGCACATTAACAATAACATGGGGAGTCTAATTTCAGGTGAAAGGTTCACATACAGCATTATCATATTCAGATTGGTTAGTGATATGAGGGCACAACATCTCTCCAAAGGTCTGGAAAGTGCATTGGGATTATTATTTGATTAATTATTTAAAGTGTAAGTCGTGTAACAGAGTTAAGTAATATTACATGTCTTGCTTACCGATTAGACCCTATTAAGTTGCAGTCATAATTGTTCAGCAAATTTTGAGGCGAAATACAGCCATTTCTATCCAAACGAGCTCAGCCATTTGTTACTTGAATGTATGATTGTGGTAACTTGAATGTGTTTTGAGTGGTTTTTAGTGTCTTGAAGTTTACGTCATTGCTAGGTGACTTCTTACCGACCCAAGTCCAACTGGTCAGAAAAGTCAACAAGCCATGCAATTTGAGGTATCATTCGTTTGCATAACAAAAAAAGACTATGCATGAGAAAAACAATCCAAAACCATTATCTTCCGATTCATATTTCCAAACATAAGAATATGACAAGCATCAATATTATCAAAACTTCTCTAATTATTTTATATTTTTATTCCCGGTGTTAAATATTGTTCTAAGATACTGCCTTTTTTATGCCTCAATTTATCTTCACTTACAGATCTTCATTCATACAATATGAATATTTCTTTTAAAATGAAAATCAGCACCTTGATCCTTTTTGCAATTGGTGCTCAATTTCCAGCTGATGCTTAAACGCATTGAACTCAGAGACGAGCACGACATGCACATGTCTGATTGTGCTTGCATAGCCCATTCCTGTCAGAAAACAATTGAATCCAGTAGAGAGCAAGGTACACAATGAAACATTTAGTGTCATTTGGGATACTGTGTGGGAGTAATATCAATAAATGTTTGTGGATTGATTTTATCTGTGGTGAGGTGTGTGCATGTATATTCATGAGTAAAAAAACGAAAACAATACACAGCCATTCTGTTCCTGCGAACATCACGCTCCTGAGATCATTACAAAAAGGCACTTGCATAAATAAACATGACAGTTCCACTGAAAGCATAAAGCAGACTTCAATTCTGACATTTAAGCAGGTCCTACTGTATCTGTACGGCTAATCGGGTAATTATTCCAGCAACTAGCGTGTGATGCTATATATTTGAAGGTATAAATGGAGATTTAAGAACAGGCTTTGAGATATGCAAGTTCAATATTGCTCATACCAACAATAGACTGATACAGAAAGATGATACAGAAAGACAGATTTGAGAGGGGAAACAAGCTCTGTTTCAAAACCTAGTGAGCTTAGCCAAGTGAACCTGAATATCACCCTAAATATCTTCTAAGGCAGCATTTATTGTATTAGAAACAATTTGGATGCTCTGTCTACATTGGCTGAAACTGTCATACAAATGGGAGACTCAACTTGCAATTGATTTCAATACAGGTGACGTGAGAGGAACATACTGCCTCCTTTCCAATCAAGCTGTAACTAAGTAGCACAACTGTTTTCAACATTGGGTACCTGCTGCCTAGAATTTGGCAAAAACAAGGTGCACACAATCCTTACTAGGTTTAGGAAAAGAGCAATAGTACAGCAATAGTGTGTAGTTTTTAAGCGTTGCCAGATGCATAAAACATATATACAAACACCATTTCCCACTGTCAAGGAGAAACCAGTCAGAAGCAGGACTCGGGCACAGGTCTCTGTCGTCCAAGTGAAGTGCTGCTGTATCTGATTCGCTGTAGTGTTGCATAGGAGGATTTATCAACCGTAAGTCCTTTATGGGGGGTCGGCACCAACGTACTATTTCTTTGGAGAGACGACGTCCTTTTCAAAGTCATATCAAGCCTGCTCTGAATACTGGATGAGCTGTGGGCGCGTTTTATATTAGCTGTGCTTGAACAAACCTGGTTTTCTCTGCTACTAACCATTTTTTTGGCACTCTTGTGAGAAGTACCGGATTTCCTCGACTCGACTCCCTTCCCATTCAGAGTGCCGTTGGATAGAGAGAGTTTGATCAAGCTCTTACTGGAAAGCGTTTTTCCGTGACCCACCTCCTTGCTGATGGCGGGAAGGACAACATCTTTACTCCTGCTTTCCTCAGTGGCCGTCAGCATTTGGCTGGTAGGAATCCTGCTAGCTGCAGCCGCCTGGTTCCGGAGCCGTTTCAACGTAGAGTCTCTGGAATGAGATGCACTGTTGCTAGTGCCATTGGGGAGTGCAGTAGGGGAACCTTGAAGCGACTTGCTTCCTTGAGTCCTTTCGTGCTCCTGCCTGGTTGCTGTTGAGCTGCTTTTGGCCCATGAACCATCGCAACTGATACCATTAAGGTCTGATGCTGGTCTGCTCTGGCCTTCGGGTAGCCTGGGCGAATCCGGATCTCGATAGCTACTTCGCTCCACACCGTTGAGACTACTGCTACAGCTGGGGGAACTCAGGGAATCGTCCTCACGAAGCTGGGCTTTGACCTGTGAAGGACTAGCCACGATGCTGACTATGGGCTCCTTGGTACATCGAGGCCGCCGGCCAGACTCAAGGTACTCCACCAGCTCGTCGTTTGCCAATTGTGGAGCTACGCTGGAGGGCTTTCTGCGTTCCTTAGAAGCAAATGACCAGCGCAGTGGAAGAACTTTGCTTGGGCCTGTCTTGGATTTTGAGTGGTAGCGCATACTCATGCTGTGACCCCGGACGCTCCGTACAAATGGCGTCGGCTCAACTACACCTAAAAGCAAAAAATGGAGGGCTAGTAAGTCATATGTGACACGCGTGGTCTGAAAACTGTTTGAGGAGAAAAGTGTTATGCAGAATCTTTTTTTATGTGCGTTTTTTTTTTACGGTGTTATTTTTGATAAAAAAAAGTCTCAGCTTACAAATTAATTTTACTGCACATTTCAAATTTTATTTGCGAAATTTGCTAATGTTGTTTTGATGTATCGTAAAATCATAAATTTACATTTATTCATTTAGCAGACGCTTTTATATAAAGCAACTTAGAAATGAGAACAATAGAAGCAGTTAAACTAACAATAGGACAACAATATGCAAGTGCTATAACCCTTCCCAGTTTAATAAATACAGTTAAAGGGGTCCTATTATGCTCTTTTATGAAGTCTTTTTTTTTTTTTTTTTAGGGTGTACTAAAATATGTTTTCATTCTTGATTGTTCAAAAGACTTTTTTATACATATTTTACATTATTACAGCACCTCTCTTCCCAGTCTGGCTCGAACACGCCAATTTCGATGAAGCCCCTCCTTCCGAAATATGAAATGTGTTGTGATTGGCAGCGCTTAGGCATGTTTGGGAAATGTCCTGCCCCTTCATAACTGCAACTTCTTTTCTATAGTAAATACTGAGGATGGTGTCAATTTCAAACCAATTTGAACCTGATTCAGACCCTGACAATGTTAACGAACAAGTGGATCGTGCAGAGTAGATTTCAGAGTGGTATTTTTTTTTCATTTCCTTATACATTATATATACAATGTTATCCACCATTTAATCGTGATATTTGTCGGAAAACTAAGGTAATACAAGCAGTAATCGATCACAAAACCATGGTTAATTTTCCTAAGGAGCGGTGCACAGTCTTACAAAAGCAAGAGCTTACAAAAGCAACCGAAAACAAGCTGTTCTCCATAAAATGTGCAGCGCACAGATAAACGGTGGGGTTACTGTATAATGTTCTGGAACAGTGTTTAAAATAAGTAAGGTCAAACAAATGAGTTTTGGAAATGTTGTGGAAAAAACAGCGTCTCTTCAACAAAGCGACAACATTGTTTTCTTTAATGCAGCTCAGCCAGTTAAAATGATCATTAACTGAGATTAATAAATGCTTTAGAAGAATTTTTCATTGTTAGTTCATGTTAATTAAGGTAGTTAACTAACAAGTGGAACCTTCCTTAATCTGTTAGTGATTATTTAATAATCTGAAAATGGTCAAAACAAGTTATGACAGCCACCATTTAATTTAAATGAAACAATCTGTACTGTATAAAGCGCTATATACAAAAATGGGACTTGACTTGATTTGATTACATCTAAAATTATAATAACTATTATAAGAAAGCCAGAGACTTTCCTTTAAAAACGACTCGAAACAATGGAGCAGGTTACTGTACATATGACTTCATTAAATTGTAAAAGAAATACCACTTATTGTTTTAAGTAGTAGTAGACATAAATCAAGAGTTCACTGACCATTATCTTCATTTAGAGGCTCATGGATGACAGGAACGTGCGGTGTTTGGGGCTCAGGAGCTGAAGATGAATTGGACAGCTTGCTAGTTGAATTGGAAATCCGGTTGTCTGCATTCAATCGGATGAGCCAGTGATCTGATATAGAGACGCTGGAGGAACCTGTGGGTCAAAAGTAGCCTAGTTAACATTGCTCATTTCATGCAAGTCAGAATGCTGTTTGTTTTCTGATAATAAACTGAAATGCACATGTAGCCGAATCCTAGCATTGTGGAACTGAGCAAACAGAATTATGGTCAAGCATTTTGGTTTAAGGTTCCTGAAAATACCAAGAACCCTGTTATCATTTTGCTCTAGCCTTTGTATGTGCGAGTCTCGTTTCTATTAAACCCCCATGAAGATGGAATGGGTCCAAACAAGTATTATGCTATGCATACAAATGATTGTGAGAATTTTATAAAAAAATGTCTCAGACGGGTTGACAGATTCGATGCATGTTTTTATGTGGTAAGGATGGTAATTCATTTAATCAAATATTTTCAACCTCTTATGCTTACCAAGGCTGCATTTATTTAATCAATATAGTAAAAACTAATATTGTGACATTTTCAGCCTCATTACTTCACTCTTCAGTGTCACATGATCCTTCAGAAATCTTTCTAATATGATGATTTGATGCTCAAGAAACATTTATTTTTATCATCAATGTTGAAAACAGTTGTTTTTTGCTGTTCAGAAAGTTCAAAGGAACAGCAATTATTTGAAAATAGTTTTCATATTCTTGGGTGAACTATCCCTTTAAGACAGCTATGGAAAGTAGGAACAACATGTTCCCTGGATCAGACATGCAGAGAAAAAGAGCTCTCATATTTACGTGCAGATTAAGCTGCAAAGTTTCATATTATAAAAATTGACAAATCACAAAAAAGGAGGACAATTTGACGAAGCACATTACAATCTTCAAATAGACATATTTGAGAGTTTATGAAGTTTATGCATAAATGCTCTGGGGCACGTTAGTGTGGAGGTGAATCATATAACTTTGATCTGAGCGCAACAGCCAACACTGAAGCTGATCGCTTTAAAGGAGAACTCCGGCGCAAAATGAACCTTTGGTCTAATTACACATTGTTACCTAGTCAACCGTTATCTGAGATTTGTTTTCATGATTCGCGTATACAGGCAGGAGCCATCTTTGAAATACAGCCTTTACCAGTCGATCTACGAACGCCGATCCAAGCCTGCTGTTCGCGCTCACCTTATCACAACTTATAGCTCGTTCACATCTCACCAGCGCACTTGGATCGGCGTTCGTAGATCGACTGGTAAAGGCTGTATTTCAAAGATGGCTTCTGCCTGTATACGTGAAGTTGACTGTATGTATAAAATATCTTCTTATTAAACTATCTGGACACTGACAAAGTTCTCAATGCTTCGGTTTGAAGGTAGGGACCCTCATTATGCTACCGTGTTAGTGTGGGGCTATTTTGAGCCTTCTTAGTGGTATTAACAAGCGATTTTTATTTGTCATTGATCTATGCCCAATATACTAGCGTTATACTAGCTTTATAGGCTAAACTGTTTTTAGAGATAAAACTATTTACATTCGATAATCATGAAAACAAATCTCAGATAACGGTTGACTAGGTAACAATGTGTAATTAGACTAAAGGTTCATTTTGCGCCGGAGTTCTCCTTTAACTCCACAAACGTGAACCTGACAGATCAGCTACTTTATTTTGAACTGTAGCTTGAGGCGGTTCACAACAGTTTAACTCCACAGAACTTGTTTCTACTGTAAATCAATGGGAGCTACTGATAACAGATCCATTTTAATTACTACCACAATGGACCGAGTTCAGACTGCACGATTTTAGCCCCGATTTTGGCTCGCCGACAGGTTGAGAAATCGCCGACAAATGCCCGAAATCACAGGCAAATCGGTGCTCGTTCACGCGAGTGTCAATCACGCAGTGTGAATGAGCAAAGACGCGATCTGAGAGAATCGCCGACGAGTCGCCGACGCCCGTGAGATATTTGGCATGCTAAATATCTGGACCTGTCGGCGATTCACAATCCTGTTGTGTGAATAGGCTTGTTTGAGATGCGCCTTGCCTCGCCTGAAATGTAGTCGAGAGTAGGCGGCTGCAGTGAGGGGAGGAGTGAAAAAGCGCAGGCAAGCCGGACAGATCGCTCTTCTCGCAGTGGATCTGACACCTGTGAGATCAAAGGCGGATATCGCGGGATTCACACTCGTGCACGGTGTTGCTAATAAACTGGATGTATTTTAAGTTTTGTTGCTTGAATATGAAAATAAATATAATGAACAAGACACTCAAAGTACTTATTTAATTCCATTTTAAATAGGCCTATATGTTTATGAATCATTTTTTTTCTTTACAAATATGTGTTTTTATTTTTAATTAAAAAAAAATTTACATCAAATAGATCGCACTGTCTGAGAGTTTGGGGATATCCACACATAATCTATACACATAAAACATGATATCAGAGTTTTAAAATCAAACATTTTAAAAGAGAACAATACATCACGGTTAAACCAATGAGCATTAAGCTGTGCCGCCAGCAAGTCGTTTCCCATCATGCTTTTGATCAGCGCAGTCGGTGGAGAGCAACTGCGCGCGACTGCAGAATCCGACACGTGCGCCTTGCGGTCGCGAGACTTTTTTGACCCACGTCAGCATGACATCAGAGCAAGGCGGACCGCACTCGGACACATTTCTAACCGGCATGCATCTCGCGCTGATCACCGGTGATCGGTTCTGCGCAGATTTTGCTCATCTCAAACAAGCCTGTTAGGTGTGTTCGACATCGGCTGCGGCTGGATGTAAGCGATCGGCGAGAGTAGCCGCGTGCAGGCGGGGAGGAGCTGCAAACGGAGACGTGAAGTCGGACACTTTCTGGTTCCCGTAGTGACCGCTCACGTGGTGTTTGTATACTTTAGCACAGCTGAAGTGAAATAAATGCAATATTTGCCAAATACACAGATGTTTCAGAGACATTTTCATTCAATACTTTATGTAGCCTACTGCTTCATACAGCGTTTGTTTGAACAAGAATAAAGTTCAACATAAGCCTACAGCTAGGCCTACTATCAATGAAGTGGAATCAACGTTTTTTAATCAGTTTTATTTTGATAAACATAACACAATAAATCGCGACTACATGAAAAGAGTGTTTACTGTTATTAAAAAACTGATTTGTGAGCTTTAGTGGAACTAAAGGTGTGAGAATAAACACGAAACGCACGTGATCGTTGTCATGCGGTGAATCCGGCCAATCGTGGAACAGCTGTGTCGTCATCACAGCTCGTGCAGCCCAGAGCAGCCGCTCTTCAGAAGCTGCGCTGGCTGAGTTCTCCGGCTACTCTCGAATCGCTCTCGCGGTACTTTGATGGCATACGTCACAGTCACGTGGCGTCGGCGCTGTATCAAGTCGGACAACATTTCTAACCGGCATGCACTGCTTCAAGTCTGCCGCCGATCGGTCTGCGCAGAGCTGCATGAAGTCGAACAAGCCTAATGTGTTCTGACTGAAAACTACATCGGCGATGACCGACAGCCAACGAGAGAGCAAGATACAGGGAGGAGGAGGAGTTAAAGACCAGAATATCAGTATTTTAATAGATAGGCCTATATTTACAATTATATCAAACAGAAACAAAGCACAAACATTTGCATGACCAGCAGCAACAGCAGGACATTTGCAAAATTATTTATTTACCCCGAACTCTCTTTGCAAAACACAGTCCTTGCTCCCCTCGTCTTCCCAACCATTTCCTGCATAAACTGTTTATTATTTTTTTTCATTTTCGCTACAAATCAGTGCACAGACAATTTGTAGGCTATCATTTTTAATAACAAATTCAGTGTCGCGCGAGAACTCCGGTCTTACGCACGCGTGATCTTCCGTTATTTCCTATCACTTCTCGCGTTCGTTTGGTTGTGAAACGTAGTTTGCGGGCCAGGCAGAAGTTGTCGGCGATTCTTTCTTTTGTAAAGTCATGCAGTGTGAAACCTCCTGTCGCCGATCCATCGTGCACTGTGAACACAGCAGCAACTGAATGTTACCCCAGATAGTCATGCAGTGTGAAAACAACAGTGACCCGATTATTTTGAAAATCGTGCAGTCTGACCTCGGCATAAGGCCTCTGCATGACATTTCATGACTAATTACAGCACCTTTAATTGACAATAACAATATTTATTATAATGTAAGATTCAGTATCATTGAAGAGCAGCTTACTGAAACATTGTTCTTATCCAATCTTAACACTAAAATGGATCACTTGAAACAAAAAAATTACCATTTACAAAAATATACCAAAATATGTACGTTTAAATGTGCCTTGCTGCACTATGGAAATATGTTAACATACCTTAAAAGTACACTACACGTTTCAAAAGTAAAGCTTTTGTTAGGAGTAATGGCTAAATATCTCAATTACCTATGAAATTCAGATTTGTTTTAACATATGGATTTAAATTCACACCCATTTTAATTGCATTTACTACTTACTGATGTGAACTTGATTCATGCAACCAAAGCGGATGTTCTTAACTTACAGTACTGTTCAAAGAATTGTGGTCATTAAGATTTTTTGAAAAGAAATTCATAATTTTATTCAAGGATGCTTACATTTTTTACAGTAAAGATTTATATTGCTACAAAAGATTTCCATTTCAAATAAATGCTGATCTTTTGAACTTTCAATTTATCAAAGAATCATATCACGGTTTCCGCAAAAATACATTGCTAATTATAAGAAATGTTTCTTGTCCAGCAAATCAGCATATTTGAATGATTTCTGAAGGATCATGTGACACTGAAGACTGGAGTAATGATGCTGAAAAATCAGCTTTGCATCATATGAATAAATTATATTTTAAAAATATATTACAATAAAAAAACATTGTATAAAAAACAATATATAAACTTTTTTTATTATTATTCTAATAATATTTCACAATATATAGATTTTTAATGTCTTTCTGATCAAATAAACGAGGCCTCGGTGAGCAGAAGAGACTTTCCAAAACATTTTTAAAAATCTCACCGATCCCAAACTTTTAAACACTGTTGTGAAAGAAACTCACTCAAAACTCCAACATTCAGTTGCCTTGAGAGTGGTCTATGATTGTAATAAACATAGCTACAAAGAAAGGATGCAAAATGCATTTAAATCTGAATTAAATCTAGTGATATGCAAGAATGCCAATTAAACACAGAATCCACCAGCACTGCAGGCAGATTTAAAAAAAGCTTAGACAGACGTTACTGCATTCATCTCACATCGGTTTGCTGTCACCCTGTGTTTTTCCACCTCTCATTTGCATAAAGTTGCATGAACACTGCTCGACTTTTTGATGTGCGAGCCAATGAATTGAATCAATGAATTGAAAACGCCCGCTCAGCTGGCTTCAGTGGAGGTATGCGGTTGTCATAATACATTTTATATACATTATATAACTTTGATACTTTTACATGTCAGTGCAAGATTTGATTTGTTGAAGAATCATATAGCATACATTCAGAGGACTGGAGAGAAGAGGAAAACAGCAGCAGGGACATTTGAGCAGAAAAAGAAAGTGACTTAATTTTGTCAGTATATGTGTGTGTGAACATGTATGAGACAAGCAACTCGAAACCATGTCTGTTCCCAGTGAGGCTAATCAGCAGCTCGTCCTTCCTGCAAGTGTTTTGTTCCTATTCCTTCACCAAGGTTATTGTTGTGGCAGCACAGTGATCAAGTGATCACTCTAAGACTGGTTGCTGAATTCATTTGTGTCATTTCTGTGTTTATATTTGGATTCTGAAGATGTGGTTCTCAAGATGTCGAGAGAGAAAGATGTTGAGTAGTGTGTAGAACTGTGTAGAAAAGCCCTTGGAGTCACCAAGAGGTTGGTTGTGCCTTTTTTCTCATCACTGTAATGCAAAACATTGCCGGATATACACTATTGTTAAAAAATGTGGGGAAATATTTTCTTAAGTTTTGAAGGAGGTCTCTTATGCTCACCACCTGCATTTATTTGATCACAAATACAGTAAAAACAGTAATATTGTGAACTATTACAGCCTAGCATTTCTGATACAAAAACACATAAAATATTTGAACTTCAGATGGTGGGATAGATACTGATGCTACGTTCACACCGGACGCGAATAGCGCGTCAGGCGCGAGTGATTTCAATGTTAAGTCAATGCAAAGACGCGTTACGCGCGTAAAAAATTCCTGCGGCGCGAATGAGGCGTGGAGCGTGGCGCGGTAGACGCGAATACGCCTCATTCGCGCGTCAAGTTCGCGCGAAATTGAGCGTCTGGCGGGTTACGCGCGTTACGCGCGAATGGTGCATTTTGTGCATTCACGCGTTTGACGCGAATTCGCGTCTGTCGCCAAAGTTGAAAAATTTGAACTTCTGCGTCAATTCGCGCCGCGTTAACCAATCAGGAGCCTAGCTGCTTGCTGCTGTCACGTGGTGAAGTATCTGGATGCTTCAATAAATTATTTTGTAATTTGACGGTGGTTCTAATGTAGTTCTAATGCACAACAAAGCAAATATTTTATCACATAAAACTTGATTTCAATATAGGCCTATGAGACATATTCATTTTGTATTGAAAGCTATTTATTCCATATCTAGATTAGGCCTATATGAAATATTATTATTATTTAAAGACAACCAACATTCGTGTCTGGACAGTGATGTGTGTGAGAGAGAAAAAAATCACAGGACAGATTAATCACTTTTGGAGGCTGGCTCCATTTATCATCAAAACAAAAATAAATGACAGATTAGGTGGATGAGGGCGAGGGTAATCCTCGCTCCGATGCGGGACAACAGGTCATCAAGCTGGGCGCGGGACAGGCAGAAGTACCGCTGACAGCGGCCGTCATCCAGGCGCAGCTCCTGGAGCGAGCAAATGGTGAAACTAGCCACACTGGGTTCGGTTTTGAAGGGTCTGGTGGACACAAATACGGCGACGATGACCCCTACGCCGCCGTTCTGCTCCTGTATTCAGAATATATGCTATTCAGAGCAAATACAGAGCGGTGACTCTCTCGATGAATGCTCGATCAACATAAAAAAAGATGGCCGCCAACGGGTTTCGATTCAGACACGCGTAAATTTCGCTTCAAAGTTTTGTTTTTTACGCGCGTCAATTTCGCTCTTGACGCGCGAATGGATTCAAAGTGGTCAAGCGTATAACTAGACGCGGTAGGCGCGAATTTGACGCGCTATTCGCGTCCGGTGTGAACGTAGCATTAGAGCCTAGAATGCACTACTTTGCGTAAAATAAATAGGAAATAAAGTTACTCTAGCAGTGATTTCTGTGTTCTGTAGAGTAGAGGTTTTGGTAAAAATAAAATAAAATAAAATAAAATTAGTAGTATTGCATTTTTAAATGGCACCCTTTCTAACAATTACCCAAAAGAACAGCAAAGCATATTTTTTCTTTGTATCGATCTTTCTAACAATGTAATTCAAAAGCAGTAATGTAATTTCCAAACTGTGGCAAGCAGTGCTGGGTCGAGAGCCGTGAGAGAACGACGTGAGTGTTTTGTTTATTTTGATAAATTAAAGTGTTGAATGTTCGCCGAATGTTCTTAGTGTAAAGTTACATTTCATGAAGAGATAGCACATCAGACAGGCTGAAATGATATGCTTAACAAAACTACACAACTACTTTTCTTGTACTCTCTTGATAATGCACTCTTTAGTACGTTTTCTTTGTTTGCCCTTGGTATGAGGATATACAGTAAAGCAGATTCGAGTGTTCACCTTGTAGTGAGCAGTTTGCTGACCAGGATGGAATGGCATCACGTCTCTGATAGAACAGGATATAAGCACCACGAGTGCACACTTCTCCCTCAGGCACCGGCTCAACAGTGCTGTCATCGTAGGCGTACCACTGACCGTCCACTGAGTTCCTGCAGTATGCTGTTCAAAACAGAGAATCATTATATTCAGAATGCAGCTTACTTCATGCTCAAGTATATCCTTGCATGGGGGCCAGAATTACTTGGACCATGGCATTGTTTTAATTTTAAACATTTACATACACATGCATACAAGTACTTACACTGCAAAACATAAATACAATTTACAAATTTGTACATAAGCATAAATCTAAAAAAACTTAATGAGGTAGGCCTACATGCACACTACTGTTCAAAAGTTTGGGTTCTTTTACGCTCACCAAGGCTTTATCAAAAGTACAGTAAAAACAGTAATATTGTGAAATATTATTACATTTTAAAACCATTCTAATATGCTGATTTTCAGTTGGAAACGGTGACAGATTTTTTTCAGGATCCTTTAATAGAAAGTTCAAAAGAACAGCATTAATTCGAAATATAATTTTTTTTGCAACAAAGTAAAAGTCTTTACTGTCACTTTTGATCAATTTAATGCATCCTTGCTAAATAAAAGTATTCATTTCTTTCAAAGAAAATCATACTAAACCCCAAACTTTTGAACACTTGTGTGCATTTAATATAGATTTAAAATGATATTTAGTGACTTACAAATGAGGAATATCACAAGTAATTAATAACAAGCCAATGATATTCACAGTATCACAATGCAGGGTTACAAGAGTAAACTAGTTCGAAAAACAACGTATGCTTCTGAAATGCTTTAAATTTACGATGCTCTAAACCAAGAACAGAAAAAGTTTACAAAAAACATAATTACAGAATAAATTTTTTTTTCTTTTAAACTCTGTCTCATGATATTTCCCCCCCATCTTGATTAATCTCGATCCATTATTAAGAAAGGGGTTTGCAGTAAAAATTAATTAGCACAGAATTCTCAGATAAAATATTTAGTATTTTGGCTTGTATACGTTGAAGTATCCAAATGATTTCAGCTTCAGCAAAATTTCTTCTCTGACAGCTACTTTATTTGGCAAATTCTGCCAGTTCTATCCAGCAGCTTGTGCAGAAATGAGGCTGGAATATTTTTCCCATTCCTCCTGTGTGAACATCAGGAGACATCTTGTGTCGCCTTTTTCCATGGTCTTTTAACTCTGTGCTTCAGTTGCAGTTAAATGGACGAAAGTGACCCGACCATCGCCTTGCATAATCTGAATCAAGCACCCTGCCCTAAATAGCTGGTGCTGAGATTTGTTTGCGGTCAATATCTCAATGAAATGTGAATCCTCTCCCCAGGACCCTGGATCTAGAAGATGAGGTCAATTTTCAAGTGTTCTTCCCTCATAATGATTCCATAAATCCTGTGACCTCACCACTGTGATCTCACAATGTGCAACACTGCTAAACAACCCCATCATTTTGGACACATGTGATCTGTGGGCGTGCTCAAATGGATTGTTTTATTATTTCAGTAAATTTCAGATACTAGGCAATATTAGTTTATTTTTATTTTTATTAATCAATATCAGCTGACATTAGACATTTATAAATGTTTTAAGGGTTCCAGTGTGTAGCGTTGAAACCCTATTGTAATTTCCAGGATTTTCAAGACCAAAACCGTAAGTCGTAGAGACTTGAAACTTTGAGGGATGGTAGTACCCACCCCGTCTACAACGTCACCGAGGCTCACTCCAATTGGCCTGGCAGTGGTGATACAGCGATCAAAAGTATGAAATCGTTCATAACTCCCTAAACTGTTGGTTGCAGGCTCAAGTGTTTTATATTTTTTTGTTTTTTTGAAAAACGCCTCAGGTTGCACATGTAATTATGGTTCCCTGAGAGGCCCAGCTGACGCTTTGGGGAATGCCTTCAGCATGAATGCATCTGAAGCACGTGTGCAACTAGTCCAATCTTCATTGGTGCTGCGTCACCTCGTGATGCGTGCCGGCATAAGCTATGAAGGGAAGCCGGCAACACAACAGCATCAGCTTTTGATAGGCTGAAACAAGCCGCTCCAAGGCATGCAGGGCATATGGAAAGGGGACACAGTGTCTCGTTCCCTTTCAAGGGAACTCATGCTGTGTCCCAGCGGACGCTTTGGGGAACTAAATACCCACTTCGCCATGCTGACAAATGCCAAGTGTGAAACTGTATAGGCACAACTCAGGACGAAAGCACTTGAGACCCACAGGTTCCGGCAGAAAAACCTTATAAATGTGTGCAGGGCTGACCAACCTGCTGCATCACAAACATCTTTGAGGGAGACTTCCGACAACAAGGCTTTTGAAGATACCATATGTCTAGAGGAAAAAGCTCTCACTAACAGAGGTGTAGGCATAGCACGCACCTCGAAATTATTGCAGTCCTACAGACTCTCGGTTGAGATACCAATATTCTGGAGCTGAACCCCCTTAGTCTTTTCCTTCTCTCTGGCCGGGGATGGTATATAGGACTGTCTAGGAGGGCTATCAGGTCTGAGAACCATACTAAGGTCAGCAATAATGGGGTTACCAGAAATCGACAAAGCTCGACCCGGTGAATTCTTCTAGAACTCGTGGGAGCAGAGCGATCGGAGGAAATGTGTACAGATGAAGCTTCGGCCCCATCTGCACCATGGGATCCAGCCCCAGTGGAGCTGGATGCACGAGGGAGAACCAGAGTGGAACAGGAGTCGTTTCTTGTAAGATGGAAACAGGTCCACGTCCGCCCCATTTATTCCACCATCTAGAGGTGGAGTATCCATTCCCTGGGGCTCAGCCTCTGCCTTGACAGGACGTCTGCTCCCAAATTCAAGTGCCCAGGGATATAGAGTGCTCTGGGGAAGAGAAGTTTGCCCTGGGACCACAGGAGGATCTGGTGTGCCAGCCTGTATAGAGGACGCGACCTCAGACCCCCCTGATGATTTATACACAAGACCACCGACTGTCTGTTTGAAATGGTGGCCTCTGAGATCTGGGAGGGAATGCCTTATGACTAGCAATGCAGCTAACATCTCTAGGCAGTTATATTCTAAGAGAGATGATGTTCCTTCCACAGGCCCTGGGTCGAGCGGCCTTCCATAAACGCTCCCCACCCTGTGAGGGATGTATCTGTCGACACAGTCTTGCGATGACAGGATGATTCAAAGACTGGGCCTAGGGACAGGAACCAAGGCTTCTTCCACATGACCGAGGAACGAAGGCATCTGGGTGTAACCTTGATCGTACGAAACGGGTTGCCCCTTGGGGAAACCCCCTGGTCCTGAGCCACCACTGCAAGGGTCTCACACACAGCAGGCCAAAAGGCATCACATTGGATGCAGCTGCCATGAGCCCTAACAGTCTGCAACGAACTTGTGCGGACACTGAGATATGCGAACTTGTCGCTTACCTCCAGGGGGACTGCCCTCAGAGGCCTGCGCTCAGCGTCAGGACCTCTTTCCCGAAACCTTCCTCAAGAGAATAACAGCCGATAGTGCAGCTTCGACCCCCAGGCTTTTTCATAGAGGGGGGGCTAAAGCCACAACACTCTCCTCTTGTTCCACTACCTGAGTCTGCTCGGGGTCGACCACTGAGGGAAGTACCCCGTTGAATCGAGGCAGACGAGAACCGTCCCTACAGTCTGCAGGACCCATTGAGGCACGTTTGTGATCAACCAAAGTTGCCAAAGATTAACCAGACAAGTAAACATGGTCTGGATGAAAGGCCGAAGATAATATATTAACACAGGCATCTAACTTCTCAAAGTCAGATGAGAATTTATCATTTAATTCCGCAAAATGAAATGCAGCCAAAGACCAACCAGAGAAAGTAAACAGTCTGGATGAAAGGCTGAATATAGTATATTAATACAGGCATCTAACTTCTCAAAGTCAAAGAGGAAACGTTTAGTGGGAGTGAGTTTGGTTTCCAGTGAAGGATCCAGCGCATTTCGTAGGAAGTGGCTAAAGGATGCAAAGAATCGTAAATAGTCAACATTTCAAACTCGATGACCATGAACACTGTCATTCTGTCAGTTCCACCTGAAGCAAAACGTGTTGCATACAATTAAGAAAGCTGTTGTCATAGTGTTTCATTTTTACCACAATGATGTTTAAAGAGTAGATGAAGTACGATACAATTTTCAGTGATAAACCTACCCTTACAATAACCTTTCTGTTAACTCTGTCGATCCGACTATCTGTGGGTGAGGTTGTGAAGTTGAAAATCCTAAATTTTGTCTCATCAGGTTTCACTAAAAGGCACATTTTCGATCATTGTTGACATATTTCTCTTTTGCTCACACACCTGTGTAGTGGCCTCCATGCATGCCTCCATGATGGTTACACACAGCGTACAGGTCGTATAGGAAGTCGAGTGAGTGTCGGCTGGCTTCAGGCCTGTGATGGGCCTGTTGTTTCCAGCCATGCGGTGGACGGACACAGTTGCTCCTCTTGACCACATGGCGGCCCATAGCAAGGCCCATGAGGGGGAAGTGGACCAGCGTAGAGAGCTTGTTACGCCGCTCTCCCACCTGTCGGAAGCGTTTGAGGTGAAGAATGAGGAGGTCTGGGAGGGTCCACAAGCTCATCTGCACTGTGCCCTGCTGCAGCTGCTTACAGTGAGGGCACTTCCATGCATCGTCAGGGGCCAGCTAAGTAAACATGGATGAACAATTATATACAGTACATCTCAAGGAAAGATTATTTGAGTGCTTTTTTGGGCTAAATTAATGGTCCTGACAGATTGAAATGATCGTAACTATTTCAGAACTTACTAATACTTATTTTATGAAATTAATTTAATTTTGTTTGTTTTTTAATAAAATATATAAATGCTTATATGGTCCGATTCTCATTTGCATTTACACTACCATTGTAAGTTTGGTGTCGGTAAGATATTTTATGATATAAGACGTTTTATGATATTTAAAAAAAAATAACTCTCTAATATTTAAATCTTCAATGATGAAAAACTGGAAAAAATAGTCTTTTATTCGACTGAAAGTCTAGTGCTGTCACTAAGGATTATTTTTGTAATCGAGTACAGCATTGTACAGCATGATCAAATCCTTGTTTAAAGGGGACCTATTATGCAAAATTCACCTTTACATGGAGTTTGAACATAAATGTGTCGGCGTGTGTGTCCACAACCACCCATAAAGGTAAATATCCACCCACTCCTCTTGTTTTAATCCCCATAAATCATAAGCAGTGTCTCAAAACAAGCGGTTTGCCTTCTAGCAACGTGACGTCACAAATGCTTAGGCCTCGTCCAAGACAGCTGATGGACTCTGCCCTATTAGCACAGACCCTGCCCTGAGTAAGCTGTACACAGTAAGCCATGTTTATCTCCAAGCCAGAGCATTTAACAGCAGCATTCAAGTAAGAAATGTATTCTTATTAAAGCTACTAAGTTATTAAATCAAGAGCAGTGAGTGATTTTCTCTTTACCTTTTATTGTTTGATTCATATTAATAGCATATATAGCAGAAGGTATGTATATTACGATGCTTTTACTTTAATACACAAATCTAATTTACACATGCGATTTGTTTTACTTGCTGTTTACGTTCACAGACATAACCAACTGTGTTTATGTGAACTTTGTGTGTTTTTGACATAACCTTGTGTGTATTTGACAGTTAAGTGCAGCCATCTTTCTGTGTGCATGCTTCAGGTGTGTGCACTCAGAAAACCATATATCAGAAGTTTAGACTAATATGGCTTTAAAATGCATGCAGATAATAAACTTTCATGATGATGAAGAACTTCAATGTCACTTGAGCATGACCACGATAGTGATAATCAAAACCAAACAGATGTTTTTGGCAGAGTATTGGAGGCAGAGCAGGAGCAGGGAGCAGCAGCTCATTTGCATTTAAAGATACATGCACGAAAACAGCATGTTTTTCCTTCAAATCAAAAATGGGCATTTGCAACATGGTATAATAAATTATCTGTGGGGTATTTTGAGCTGAAACATTACAGTCATATTCTGGTGACAACTGAGACTTATATTACATCTTGTAAAATGGGGCATAATAGGTCAACTTTAATATTGGCCAAACAACATTTAATTCAAATGATCACTTAATCTTTAATATTTGGCCACTTCTTGATGATAGAAATGCTACATCTTCTATAATCTCTTGAACAAGAACATGTGGGAATCAAAACATGCAAACTAAGAGTGAGGGTTTAAAGGCACAATATGTACTTTTTTAGGTATTTTATTATCTAAAATCAATATTTTTATTCATAAATATGTCCTCAATGGTGTACAAATACCTCTGCCAATTATCTGACTTATCCTCGTAAACGAAGAATTTATTATCTTTATATACATGGGACGGGTAGGTCCACGGAGGCTTCCATGTAGTTCCGCCATCTTGGAAAACTATAATAGCAGAGAGGGACAAAAAGTACTAAGCGCGTTTCCACAACGCGTTTTCGTTCAGAGCGAGCGTCAAGTAACTGAAAGCAGCAGAAACGGAGGAGCAGAGCAGCGAGAGGCGCTTGTCACTGCCCCGGCAAGTTTAAAAGGCTGCATTGCACTGTTATTTAAAAAAAAAAATCTTCCTCTCCCTACTGTTGAATTATCTGATGATGATATCTAACAATAGCCTGGTTCTACCAGACTCTCGTACATTTCATTTGTACAGAGAGTCTGGCCTCGCTCCATTGAGAAACGTTTACTTCCTTGTAGGCGGGTTCTCTGTTAAAGTTCAAAACCATTGGATCTGCCCAGCGTCACTCAGGATCTGCCATAGCCAATCACTAACGTGTGGTCGTGACGTATGTCATGCGCCGAAACCGGCTGGAAACAACAAGTCCGAATTCCATATTCATAAATCTAAATATCTAAATGCTAAACCTCTCTTTCTTATATTTGTGAAAGAATTTTAAAAATACCTCTTTTCAATTAAGTTGTCTGAGAACAAAAAAAGCCTTAAAAACATTATCTGTTTGTAATTATTTTCCTTTTTTCAGTGTCATGTAATTCTCTTAACTTGTTCATGTTTATTTTATATTATCCCCCTACTGTTTTATTTTTGTTTTGTTTTTATTATTATTTTTTGTTTGTTTTTGTATTATGTTTTCTGTTATTACTTGTGTATTGTTTTAAGCAATAAAAAAAACAAGTCCGAATGATCAGAGGATTATGTTTAGAATAAGATGTCTGTCAACGAGAGCTGCATGTTTTGTTCATCGAATTTAAGAGTTCAAGGAACAATTCTAAATTCTAAATGTATATTTGACACTAAGGACAGTGATGTATTCAGTCAACTGTCGAAGCTGGGTGTAATCATTAACAATACGCCGCTGCGGTCGTTTCGGATCTGCCGCAAATGCTGTACAGTGATCATCGTGCACGCCGAGCTGCCCAGCACCAACTCCTAACCTTTCTGCCTCCCTCACTTGGTCCTCCATTAGTGCAACAAGAGGAGACGACAACAACTATCGGCTTTGCATCCTATCGTTCGCCTTAGCTAACTCATTCACCACTAGCGGAGTGAGCTGGAAAATTAAACTTTTCCCGAACCACGTGGGGAGGAGGGCCACAACATCATGGCCACCAACAACACTTAGCAAACATTGATCTTGCTCCGGCTTTAACTTCTGGATATTCGGCAGTTTTGCAACAACGGACCGAATTGATTTTCTCACGTCTTTCTCCGCTGCCATTACTGAACTCCAACTCAAACTGACGCGCTACATCAACGTCATCGTTCTCAGCCACTCCCTCTGTTCGCTGATTGGACCGGTAAAAAAATTATTTCTGGAAACCAAAGTCTACAGCACAATCCCAGACATAGTACTGAAGGAAAATAAAATTGAGCGGAAGTGCGTAGGAGGGCGGAGCCAGGCTAATCTAACAATGCACGTACTTCAGAAAATATAACAAATAAATAAGGCATAACTACTAATTACAATAGTTCATGTTTTTCACAGTCAGTAATTCGTACTGTAACGTTCGTTTGTTCGTTGTGTCAAGTTGCAGTTTGTTTGAAATAAAAAACCTGTTCACCCGAAGGAAAACTCGACGAAGTGTTATTAGAAGACATCCTGTCATAGCTTTTTGGTACATTACGGCTACCGTAGATTTGAAAAAGCGAGGCCCTGGAGAGCACAATTCGTTTGAATGCAAAATACAATTTCACCGCTAGATGGGAGAAATTCCTAGCCTGGCTCTGCCCTCCTACGCACTTCCGCTCAATTTCATTTTCCTTCAGTACTACGTCTAGGATTGTGCTGTAGACTTTGGTTTTCTCCGATCAATTTTTTGTAGGGCCAATCAGCGAACAGTGGCTGAGAACGATGACGTCGTGCGTTATTTTGAGTTGTAGTTCAGTAATGGCAGCGGAGAAAGATGCGAGCGAAGCCATTCGGTCCGTTGTATCAACGCTGCCGAATATTAAGAAGTTAAAGCCGGAGCAAGAACAATCTTTGCTTAGTTTTGTTTTGGCCATGATGTTGTGGCCCTCCTCCCCACGGGGTTCGACATACATCACGAGCAAACGTTAGCGATTGGTGGCAGATCCAGTGACTCTGGGCAGATCCAATAGTTTTAGACTTCAATAGAGTACCCGCCTACAAGGAAGTTAACGATTGTCAATGGAGCGGTGCCAGACTCTCTGTACAAATGAAATGTACGAGAGTCTGGTAGAACCAGGCTAAGAAATTCCTACACAATGACCCTTTAAACATTTATTTTGAAATCACAATGAACAACAATTTGCATATTTAGAAACATATTGATGTATTCTCCTGTGTTGGCATTTAGGTTTATAAATGATTTACGTTACAAATCTGGTGAAATGGGGCACGTTGCGTTCCCAGATGAACGTTATAAGCATCCTAAACATTTTTTGTTAAGTTTGTTAAGCGAGCTGCTGAGACCCACGCGCTCCACACATGTAAATGATACAGTGCAACACTTTGCAATGAAACAAAGCGTGTTAGACTTTATATGGTTTCCCAAATGCACATTATTGGAAACCCAAACAAACTGACCCCAAACTTTTAAACGGTAATGTACATACATTTAAACTGATAAATTCAATGACTAATGTTAATGAATAAGTGCAAATTAAATTTGACCACTTTTATAGTGCTTTTTTGTCTTTTTTGGAGCTTGACAGCCAGTGGTCACTATATGTTTCCACGATATGGAAAAGTGCAAGACAATGCCTCTTTTTGTGTTCCACATAAGAAAGTTATGCTTATTTAGTCCTCTAGAACCACATGCATGTAATTCTTACGTGTTGATTATATTCCATTGTACAATACTTTTGCCAATGTTAATCTTTTCCTGTTTTTGTCCTCTTTCAAAAAGAAAGAAACACCTGCTGCACAAGAGCAAATGTTGCTGTTATAGTTGCTCAGAATCAAACAACATCCCAATCATGTGTTTCAGAAAATGTCCAGGTCTCAGCTGTTATGCATGTTTATCTGAAATAATGAAAGTTACTTGAAGATAGGGAGACCGGTGCTTGTATTTCCAGAATAAAAATAAATAAATAAATAAAATCATCCAATAATAATTTTACAAACATTTCAAAATTACAAAAGGCTGAAAAAGATCTGCCTGGCCAAGCGGCATTTTGACATTTTGTGTAACAGCAATTCGCTTCACTTTTTTAATTGGTGGAGAAAAAAATACAAATATACCAACTAACTGGGTAAATTTAGTCTTAAATTTAAACTTGGTTGTGATTTTCCATTGCATTCTGCTGCTGATATTCAGTATAATGTGTGTTTTTGTGTTGTTTACTTGTTCTTCTTTGGTGTACAGCTCAAAGCACTCATCCAGGGTGCAGCTGTGCTGCTGAACGTGGTGTTGTTGTTGAGCACGGACGCTTTCCGAGTCCTTCACCACCTCCTCCTGGATATTACCAAACAGACTGCAAACAAACACACAGTGTCCATATAGGTCATTTGACCATAAGGCCTGTTTTGTTGGCTTCATGTACGAAGTAACGAAGTGCAGACACAATTCTCTGTATTATCGCACGTACTCAAAAGGAAATAAAAGATTACATTACCAGTCTTTGATTCTGTGCTCCCACTCAACAATGAGCTTCACATGTGGAGGTCCACCTGAGCCGCACAGCTTTAGAGCTCTGAGGAGATAAAGAACAAGCCAAAGGGATTGCAAAGGAAATGAACAGACATACATTTTTTGATGTTATAAAAGTACTCAGTACAGAGTTCATTCTCAGTAAAGTACAATATTACACTATTTTTACTTTCTTTTCGATTTCTGGTTTCCAAATAAAAGTTACAAAGCCACTGCTTAGGCATAACCATGTTTGAATAATATCTGACCTCATATACTAACCACGCAGCATCAGAGCATGATGAAAATGCGAGCTAGATAAATAGTGATCTGCTTTAATAATACGGTTTCATAAACAAACATTAAAGATAATCTAATGTGACTTATTATTATTGCTATTATTGAGTTATTGCTATAGGGTGTTGATATCTGAATCTTTCCCATTATTTTTTTCCTCAGGGATTTTAAATAAGTCTTTGTTAATGAGTTGTAAGCCATGAACCAGCAAAAACTATTAGAAAATCGATAAAAAACAACAAAAAACAAAAGGTACAAGTCTTAAAGACTTTAATGAGGGAAAGAACTATAATAACAAGAAGCATTGAGAATTACATAAAAAAAATAGATTGAGAAATATAAAACTATTGATTGCTGATTGAAAAGCAAAAGGGTATACACAAAGTGTCTGTGCGTTTACATGCCTGTTCTTAACTGGTGGTCATGTAAATGCATTAACCCGTTTTCCTTTACTGTAGTAAGGTCATAAACAGCTTAAGTATAAACCAACCGAGACAGCTACATTTTTGCCTCTTACCCCATTTTCGCACAGCATGTGAACACATTAACTTGCATTCTGTTGGCTTATAGAAATGCAGATGTGTGATATGGAAAGCTTTCTAGATGTGGATTTAAGCGCATTGAAATATATTTCAAACTCTGTCTCTTTCTCGACCCAAGAAATTATAAAGAGTGCTTTCACACTTGGTTAGATTGCTTGGTCCGAACCTTCTCTCCCGATTCCCCTGCTGGTCTCTGTTCACATTGTATAATTTGTGTCCGAGCTGCGATGCGCTTACGTCATCAAGCTGCAGCCACTTACCCATGTCGCTAGTTAATGACTATGAAAGAGAAGGTGCCAAAATTAATAGGCCCTGTCCCAAATGGCACCCTAAACACTCACAGTCTTTCTCTGTGTCCGGACGTTCATGACGTAACGCAGCTTTGACTGACATGAAGAAGTCTGCTGATCTAGCACCAGTGCAGGCTCAGCAAAAGTGTGCATCGAGGGGCACATATCGACCGCAAAAAAATGACTAAATGGGACACCCTACTACGGTCTCATTGACTTAACGGTTACGCGCACGTTCCCAAGTTCTGAAAACAGTGTTCGCATCATCCATACGAACTGAACTCTGACATCAATCAAACTTGGGTGGGTGCGCACCAAAAGTACTAGTGTGAAATTACCCTTAAAAGGTCTTCTTATCTCGTGCAGAAGCGGTACAGTCAAAATGCAGCTTATTTATTTAACATCACATCTCACATGACAATCCAGCAGAATTAAAAACTGTAGCTGTCACCCCTGTTTTAAAGAAACCCGGCCTGACATGGCTAATTATAGACCAATTTCACATCTTCCATTTCTCTCAGAGCTGCTAAAAGACTATGTCTAACTATGTCATCACACAACCTTTATGAATTCCAATCAGGTTTTCTCCACAGAACTGAGACAGCACTCCTCAGGGTTGTAAATTATCTTCTTAGGGCCATCGACTGAGGCTCCATCTGCACTTTAATTCTCCTTGACATCTCCTCTGCATTTGACACCTTTTCTCACAGTATTCTCACTTCATGACTCTCTGCTCTTGGCATTTCTGGAACTATCCTGTCGTGGTTCATTTCCTACTAGTCTGACCGTCAGATTTACATTTCTAACCATCAGGCTAAAGGCTGCGCCACACTAAAGGATTTTTTTTTATCTTATAACTTAAGATTTTCAAAATGTGAGAGACCACAAACATGTTGATAAGAAATCATTGGGTTAACCATTTTGCTCCGTGTGGAGTGCAGCAATGTGACTAGGAAAGCACACCACACTAACAGATTCCATTCACAAACAACCAGAGTCCCGTCTGTGAACAAGGGAAATCTCGTAAAATCTCTTCTTCTTCTAGGGTTTATTGGCGGTTGGCAAACAAAATTTGCGGGGGAATAAAAAGAAAATTTGTAGTGGAGTGGAAACGGTGTGAACATGGACTTTACATCTTACAGAGTGAGTTGGAGGTGAGTCTTCTGTCAGCTCGCTGTCTGATTGGGTATCGTCAAAGCCCGTCTACATTCTCTGGTATCGTTTAATTTCACGAGATAATCTCCAGAGCGTGCGCGTGTTTATCATCAGGGTTCCCCCACACAAAAGGATTTCTAATCGAGATCGGGACGGATCTGATGTTCTACCAAGCAGATTCAGTAAATCTTAACACACCTCACAACACAGGAAAATCTGATAAGATGATCTGTAGAACCGTCAAGACAATCTGGACTTTACCTAGGATTGTCAGAAGGGGAGAATTCAGTCCAAAATCGCCCCGAATATCTTGTAGTGTGTGGCGGCCTTAAATCCACTACTGCCCCTGTCTCACATGGTGTTCCACAGGGTTCTGTTCTTGGGCCTTTACGCTTCATCATCTACATGCTTCCCTTAGTCGGTCACATTATCCGGTCACATTATCCGTCATCATGGCTTTAACTTTCATTGCTATGCAGATGACACCCAGCTCTACATTCGTTCCTAATGCACTGCTTCTTTCCCCACCAACTCCATTTCGGCTTGTATTGATGAAATAAATGCATGGATGACCAGTAATTTTCTCAAACTAAACACTGATAAACAAATATACTTCTGGTTAGTCCTCCTCAATTTACATCCCGTCTCTGTTGTCAATATTAATATTGCTGGGTTTCCTAGTTTGACCTTCGACCACTGTTAAAAACCTGGGTATAATTTTTGATTCTTCCCTCTCTTTCTCAACTCATATCTTATCACTTACCAAATCTGCCTTTTTCCACCTCCAGAATATTGCTCGTTTAAGTCCCTTCTTAAATATCAATGATACTGAGACCCAAGTTCATGCTTTCATTACTTTCTGCCTAGACTACAGTAATTCTCCCACTACAACGCTAAATAAGTTCCAATATATTCAGAACTCCGCAGCCAAGAAATACTCCCACATTACTCCTGTTCTATGCAGATTACATTGGGTACCCATTCGTTTCCGTATGCAAGGTACTTCTCATCACAATCAAAGCCCTTCATTGTCTAGCCTAAAAGGAAGGACAGTGAGAATTAACAAAATTGTGTACTTGAAAAAAACAAACAAGTTAGACTGTAGTATATTGAATTTCTCTGCAATTCACCTCAGAAAGTGTTGCAGAAACTAAATCTGAAAAATATGAGAGGCCTCTATTTTTTCATAGAACATAAGCAGAGTCTAAGGTTGAAGGTACAAATAAATGATTATTGCAAATAGGACCATAAAGAGAAGAAGAAGCAAGTTTAAAATGTTGTCTGAATTGCCTCCAAATCCTAAGAGAAGTTTACAACTGGATTTGTAGTGTATTTTAAGGAGCGACTGGAAAAAGGAGCACACACTAAGGCAGGAAGCAAAGACGAAAAGCAGGTGTCACGGGACGTGGTGGAGAAAACACGAGGAAGACGATGATAAACAGGAGGACAGGAATTTATTCAAATTTACCAAACTCAGGGGTCAAAACACACGTCAAACTACAAACGTAATACTAACGAGAACGGACAAAGACTGAATGAACTCAGGGAAACTAAATACAGAGACTGATGACAATAATGAATAGGAGACAGGTGACATGGATGAAGATAATTAACTAAACACAGGTGAATAAACTGAGGACAAACGAGGAGCGGGAAAACGACTCGGTTACTAACGTAACCTCGGTTCCCTGAGAGGAGGGAACGAGTATTGCGTAAGTAGCTTACGCTATGGGGAAAACTCCTTTTCTCGAGAAATATTGAAGTCTTTATGTAAAACGCATTGCAGCTGCACAGCATACAGCAATGAGCGAGGCAGCTCGGTCATTGGCTGTGCTGCGGCAACTGCACGAACCTATGACGGGGCGACTCTGAACCCGCTTCCAATGAGCGTGCTTCGCGCCCGCGCGCGTCAGAGCCCACCAAGATGGGCGTGGCCAAGGGCTATATATTGGGCGTCCCGTCGTCTGAGTTCTTTAGGTTCAATCGACTGAAGCGAACTGACCAAGCACAAGCACGGCAGCTTACGCAATACTCGTTCCCTCCTCTCAGGGAACCGAGGTTACGTTAGTAACCGAGTCGTTCCCTTTCGAGAGGTTCCTCCTATTGCGTAAGTAGCTTATGCTATGGGAACACCATGTAAAACGCCGTGCGTGCTGACTTCGCTCTATTAAGCCGGAGGCAGATGCCTGAGCCTTTAAGCAAAGTAATTATCCAACGAGCCGGCCGAAGGCGGGCTTTATAAGGGACAATGTGGAACGGCCCAATGGGCGTCCAGAGAAAAACACACAAGCACATTTTTATGTACTGATATGCATGAAAAATCCTCTAAGTCAGTCAGAGACGGACCCTATAAGGGAGGAGATAATGCTCAGCATGTACACACTCCAGCCTATGCATAGTTAGACCGACAGTATGTTGGAGTGCAATGAGGGGACCTGTAGGTTATAAAACCTGATAAATGTTGACGGTGAGGCCCAGCCTGCTGCCGCACAAATATCTTGAATGGGTATCCCACTCGACCACGCCCACGAGGAGGCCATGCCTCTCGTAGAGTGAGCTCTGATGCCCCGGGGGCACTGAAGGCCCTTGGCTTCATAAGCCAGCGCTATAGCATCAACTATCCAGCACGATATTCTCTGCTTTGAAACAGCGAGACCTTTGGTGCGGCCGCCAAAGCATATGAACAATTGCTCTGTCTGTCTGAACAGGGCAGAACGTTCCAAATACACTCTGAGCGCCCTGACCGGGCAGAGTAAATTAGCGTCGCTTTCGTCTGCTGG